AGCGGTGATAAGAAAGGAAACGTGAAATTCGAGACTGAATCCCGTTTCCAGCAGCGACAGATAGAAAACTGACGACGTGCGTCGATTTTATAACGTGATCAATTCACTTAGCTAGCACGCTTTGGTCGATACGGGACGCGTGTCTCTCTTCATGGAAGCAGCGCGCGGCTAGACCTCAGGGGTGTTGGACGGTTTCCCTAACCCCTCCCTCTCACACCATGTAAGATCGGTGACCTCTCTGCCTCCACGCGTAACACTGCGTCTGCCTGCCGCCGCAGACTGGGTGACAGCGAGCCGAGCCAGCCGATCAAGGCGCGCACCGCCGGCCGGCCGCCCTCTCTCGCCGACCCCGACCGGCTCGTGACCGTCAACGACACCGAGGTCACCGTGCGGCTTGACCTCTGGAATGCCCCCGGCTGCGCCCTGCGTCGGTTCACCGTGCGCTGGTGGCTGGCGGATGTGCCGAACGATACAGGTCAGTTGCGGCGAGAGGCCGAGAGACCGTTGGTGGTACAAAGCAGACGTCTTTGAAAACAATGCTTGCTTGGAGGGGTGTTTGCCTGTGGCAGGTGGCAAAGACCAGCAAACATCAAAAGATCGACCAGCACAGATTGAAAGGATGAGTTGAGGGAGACAGTTGGTTGCGTTAGAAGTAGGCCATCTCCTTTCCAAACCGTAGGCATTATTCTCTTACACTGGTTTTAACTAGGATCTTTCCCCGATGACTCGACAGCTTCAGTGGTCAAAAGGACGTCCCACGCTGCGTATTTCGCTGGAAGTATCGGTGTGTGGCCGTGTTATACCTGGGATTTAATTCTGTCGTTTTTTGAAAGATCAAGGTATCGGCTGGCGGTAAAAAATTTTGTTTTATGTTCTTGTAATAAATGGTGGCTTGAGGGTAGTGTTGGTGCGCGTCACCTCGTCTTGAGTGATTCCATGAATGATGCGCTCGTCTTCTTAGTAGGGTGGTGACACGGAATTGAAAAAGCTAAGTTTGATCATGTTTTCAGCCGTTTTGTTGGAGCTTTGGCTTTGCCTTTCTCGTTCGACATGGTTTTTTATTTCGTCACAAATTTCATGATTGGAAAACCCGTTGGCAACCAACATATGTACCTGCCTAACACACTCTAGGTCAACCAATGCCCAAGTGGATCGATATTTCACAGTTCTGCTTGTGAAAACTCTAACTACTCACTACACTAGTTTCATGTCTAAAAAAGTCGCTGTTGCTATTTCAACACCTCTCCAGCATATGTAGGCTTCCAATGAACTGAAGTTGTATGTCCAGAGTAGGTAGCGTGCCGTGTTTGCTGAGCTCAAAGGTTCATTTTAGTACAAATTTGGTTAGCATACATTCGATGATGCTGTCTTTGTGTTAGCTGTTGCTTACATCAGCAATAAATATATACAAATACAAAAATGCAAATACGAATGCAAAATATAATCGACACAGAAGCATTAGATATGTGGAGTGATGCTTCAGTCATGAGTAACTTTGCTTTCAAGTTCGTATAAAACGCATAAAATTTCGCGAGGAGTTTTCGTAGAGGTGATCTCTTACCCATACCGCCCTGTTGACGATAAAGCTCGTCGCCATAGTCGTGAAATGTGAACTGTTTTGTGGATGCGATCAGTTTTTTTCGAGCGTGTTTCTAGAACGCTTGAATGATGGTAAGTCGAGTAGTTATACACTTTTCGTGAATGATGTGAATGGTAGCGTCTACGGCTGCAGTCGTAAATAAGCTTTCTACGTTTGCGGAAGCTATCCGTCTTGGTTTTGACGCTCGCCACTAGCATGCAGCGGTCCGTGCTCACTCACTGTTTATATCCAATCTCGCCACTGATATCATCATTAACAGTTGGACCGCGCTCGTCGCTGTCCCCCGAGTTTCCGAGAGGATAAGACTCAAAAGGTCCATTACTCCCTCCTCACCGTGGTGATCCTCAGGTCCCCCATCACGCAGTCAAAGTGCCATATGCGTTCGAAAATGTCACGATTTTTCAGATCGAGGAGGCCGAGAGCGGATATGAACAGTTTGGGATTATGATCACATGTTAACACGCATACAGAAGGCGCACCGCTGCCGCCTGGCCAAGGCGGAGGGTCTCGGGCGAAGTGCAGCAAATGTCCAGAAACTGATAGAAGGTTCTTTACTTCCATTTTTGCACGCCATACACTTAACGTGAGTTTCCCAAGTCCAGCATTTTATTGCACTCAGCTGTTGGTCCCATCACGTTATCAAACCGTGACACAGTACCCGGACAGACCCGGCCGATCTGGGCCGACTCGTAAAATAGCTTTACCTTATCCCCCTCCGCATCGGCAGATCTCTGGCAAGAGACCATATCACTTGTTTAGTTGAGTGCTCCTAACCATGTACAGAGTCGTTTGGAAACATGTGACCGTCCGGTGCAGCGACCAAGGCGAGAGACTAGGTTGGAGAGCCGCCCCTGTGTGGATGATGTCGGCGAAATGCTTGTCCGTGTCGTCGTCAAAGACCATCAACGTCTACCATGTCTGCGAGAATCGGTGAAATACCATCGTAGTTGTCGGGACGTGCTCCCATTTGGAGAGGCCCTGTGCCAGCCACGCTAGCGGACGAAAGGTCAAGGCGAAGAGAGGTCGACTCACGCTCTCATGGATTGCGGAAGAGGCGCCAGAATGCGATGTCGAGCTCGGTCAACGTGCGCTAAACAAAAATGACGTAGCTGATTTTGATTTCCGACGGGAGGAGAGAGCGACAAGCGAGCGAGTAAGGGAGCCAAAGAATGAGAATGAGAACGAGAACGAGAGCGAGAGCGAGAGTGAGGGCGAGGGCGAGAGCGAAGCACCGCACGAGAAGGCCTTTCACCTTGCTTACGAGACGCTGGTGCTCTCCGTGCGTGAGTGCTTCTATGCCGAGTGCGCCGCATTACATACTCGCATCGTCGAGGCCATATAGCCTCAGCAGCTGAGTGTCTTGTAAGGATCCAATAATGCTGTCTAGTTTAACGTGTTTTCTGCCCACGTACGGTGGGACCTTCTGGGGCGCACCACTTCGGGGGGGGGGGGGGCAGTGCACGTGCGCAGGCATGTTCTAGTGTAACCTGAATGTCTCTACGTGTTGGTTGCTGCTCTCATCTCAGTAGAGTAGGCCCCAGTCAGCCAGAAGCAAAGCAGGCTCAACCCATTCCGGCTCACCTCACGCCGCGGACGCGCCGCCAAAGGTGCGACTCGGTTGCAGAGCCGGCGAAAAGGAGCGCGCGCCATGGTGGTGAGGTGAACAGCGATCGGTTGTGGTGGTACACTGGCGGCGGTGTCTAGGTCCTGTACTCACTTTGGTGACTACGTGGTTCAAGCGTTACTTTTTTGGCATGAAGTACATTGGTGTTCTTATCGGTCGGAGCAGAGCTAGGTCACGTATACAGAGCTTTGCTGGTTTATATTCAAGTCTGCGTATGTTGTCTGGAAGTCAGGGCTCCTCCGCATACAGTTTCGCCTTTCCCCTGCACGAATCCCGGCCACTTGCGGGATCTAGGTCCTGAAACAAGTCCACGGCACGTTGCCACCACGGGAAGCTATGCAATGTGCGTGCGAGCTTTGCTGGCGACTGTTAATGCTAGGGCATTGGAAGGGCTTGCACATCTTTTACATCGTCCTTAGAAGCTGACTCAAAGGTGAAAAATGTGTCCGTGCCGGCTACTTCTGTCCCGATAGTTCAGTTGGTTAGAGCGCCTGCGTCGTAATCCACCCACCTGTGGCGGGGTCGGGTCGGGTCAGCACAGACCCCCGCCATTTGTCGTTGATTGGGATGACCTGGCGGCAGGTGGCGGCGGCCACGCTGTGGTGTGGTGTCAATCGTTGGTATCAAGGAGGTGTAATCATGGTGTCAAGGTGTGGTGCCATCATTGGCCAGGGCGGACTGTGCCGAGCATTGCGGCGCATGAGACTTTTGCCGCAGGATTCTGCCATTGCTCCAACATTCCACGATCGATTGGAGGCGTCGGGATTCAGGCAACAAGCAACGCTTACTATGGGCACTGATCCAAAAATTATATCCACACAAAAGGTTCGGATTCTTTTAGCGAGAGCAAAAAATGGAAAAACATAGCATATGTATATATATATATATATATGCATATGTGTGTGTGTGTGTGGGTGTGGGTGTATATATATATATATGCTATGTATATATATGCTATATATATATGCTATATATATATATATATATATATATATATATATATATATATATATACCTTAATATCCTGCGCAACTCCCAGCCTATATGGAAGCAGCTGGCTGCCGCAGCGTTCGTAGCATAGTGGCATAGCATCTGGCTAGAAATGAATGCTCTTTTGGAACAAATTTTTGAGCCGTAGCGATCGCGGTTACTTTGTGGTATTCACCATATGAGAAATGAAATCTCATATGCTAACTTTTGCGTACTTTCTATTATTCAAAACCGCACCGACCGCTCTGAATTACGACATGGGCACGTGGACACCACAACACTACTACCATCTAGTAAACGCGTTAGTTAGCGGTGCATGACAAATATGCTCGCCCCACGTCATAATGCTCAAACAATAATTCACGTACAGAAGAAGGGCGCCTCCCGTTTCCTCGCCCGATCACGGACTGGTTTCGAGGTCGACCTCCGCGGGGTGCGCTGGTCAGAGCGATCAGTTATGAGACACGGCCAAGAGCCCCCAGCTGGAAAAGGACCTGTCGCGGTGTGGCACAACATTCGCATTACGGTCGGCGGTGCGCTGCCGCGAGCGGGAAGGTCACCTGCGCTTTCGATTCCGCGGATGCGCCGCCACCACCGAACGATCCCTGTTTCCACATGATCGCCCGCGTCCGCTCGTAGCCGGCGGGGCTTCCTTTCAGGGCCGGCGCTCAGCCGCGCGCCCCGTTCATCTGCCGCTCACATCCGCTCGCCTGACGTCACGCGCCCCATGCCGGCAGCGAGCGTGGAGCTGGGCGGCGCCGTGCGGCGACACGTCATCCCCAGCCTGCTGCCGGCCGCCGCCTACGTCATCAATGTGACGGCCGCCAACCCAGCGGGCGTCGCCTCGCACGTGACGCTGGTCAGGACGCGCGAGTCTGTCGGTAGGTCTGGCACTCCTGCGCGTGACGCTGGTCAGGACGCGCGAGTATGTCGGTAGGTCTGACACGCCTGCACGTGACTCTGGCTCGGACGCGCGGGTGTGTCGGTAGGTCTCACACTCGTGCGCGTGATGCTGGTCAGGACGCACCGATCTGTCAGTAGGTCTCACACTCCTGCACGTAACGCTGGTCAGGACGCACGGGTCTGTCAGTAGGTCTCACACTCCTGCACGTGACGCTGGTCAGGACGCACGGGTATGTTGGTAGGTCTCACACTCCTGCACGTGACGCTGGTCAGGACGCACGGGTATGTTGGTAGGTCTCACACTCGAGCGCGTGACGCTGGTCAGGACGCACGGGTCTGTTAGTAGGTCTGGCACTCCTGCACGTGACGCTGGTCAGGACGCACCGGTATGTTGGTAGGTCTCACACTCGTGCGCGTGACGCTGGTCAGGACGCACGGATCTGTCAGTTGGTCTGACACTCCTGCACGTGAGAACCCTCGAAAATGTCTGATAAGTGTTAAGTGTGCATGCGTGGCCGGCAGCGATGATCCGTCCAGCAGATCCGGCACTGACCAGCAACGCAACCTAATGGTCATGTGGAGCTCCTAGCTCCGGTCAGATCCGCGCTGGCTTGACATGCTCATGCTGCACGAGGCCCATACCATGGATGAAAACACTCTTCAATAATGCAGGGTTTCTAACTGGCTGAGAGCCAAGGTACGGCAGGTGGCCCGCGTCAATATCGAGGGGGCTGCGATCAAGTGAGTGGTTGCCTTCAGGAACTGTTGTGCGACTGTTCAGCCTAAGAGGTGGTCCCACTGATTTTTGGAGGGATGTTTGTCATGAGCGAGTGAAGGTCCCAATGCCGGACGGATTTTGTGTGACGGGGAGCCAGCGTACGGTAGGAGGCCCCTGTGATGGGCGAAAGAAGGTCCCCACCATGCGCCAAATTTAGTGTGACCAGCTGGCCTCGTTTCCGAGCCACAAATGCATTTGCGTTTTATAAACTGACGGACATTATAGCAATGATCATGAAACAGAGAGTCTTGTGAAATTTTAGAAATTGAAGATCCTATAGGGAGCAATAAAATGCGGGCTAGCTTTTTTCAAAATTGGCCGAGTAGTCCCCGATATTTCATGAGGGGAATCTCTCATACCAGTTTTGCAACCATTCTGGCAGCAAGCGGACAAATTTTGTCGGAAAGTTCCATTTTAGGTGTTGAAAGAACATTCAGGTCTTAGTGGGCCCCTTCATGAATTTGAGAATCCTTTGACCCTTGGTAGCTCTGGTTGTATGATAGTTTCCTTGCATTTTCCGTATTTGCTCTTTTTGTCCCATGTCTTGTCACACAAAAACAAACGAGAAATTTGCAGCTTTTCTGGTAGGAGCTGATTTAAAACTTTTGTTATCAATATGCACATGTTCAGTACATTTGCGCCGCTTTTCTCGGTCTGTTTTACTTAGTCTCAGTGATCTTTGAAATTTGAACTATTTGGCTCCCCATTTTGCTTGCAGTATGCATGCATCCATGCATTAGTAGGGTGGGAGAGAGAAAATGCAGCTTTCGAAGGGCCAGCGTAAGCCATTGGGGGGGGGGGGGGGGAGAGGGGCAGTGGCCCGCTGATAAAGTCACAAATGGACACCCGAATGATGTGGCTATGGAAATGAACAAATCCGTTGTACACTAATAAAGATTTATGTGTGAATGCAGATCGGCTTTTCAAATTTCTGCAAACACATGAAAGAAACGAATGGAAACTGTGCGACTATTTTTCAACGCCTTGTAACATATTTCGCGTGTCCTTGTACACTAGCTGTTTAGTGACAAACTTTGTATTGTATCCCCCCCCCCTCCATTGCGAAATCCTGCGTACGCCTCTGGTACGCTACATAGTGCCCATCCGGTTCTGCGACTGCGGCGGCCCGGAGGGGCAGTGACGGGCTCTGGGGTCGTGCGCTGAGGTCAGGGGTCGGGCTTCAGTCGGGCGCCGCCGGCGGTGAAGCGCGGGCTGCCGCCTCGCATCGGCGCGCACGAGAGTCCCGGATGTCACTTGCCGGCGCGACCGCTGCGCCGCCGCGGCGTCGGACAGGGACGCCGGCGGAGGGTGTGCCAACCGACGATCGGACCGCAAACAGGAATAAGGAGAGTGAATGAGACAGGTGCCTGGGCTGTGATTGCCCTGCCCAGCACTCATGTGCCGGTGCGTTAGAATTACTGTTCGGTTGGAATATGCAGGCATGCGTGCAGCTAGCATTTCTGATGTTCTATTTCATGCTCCATGGTGACAGGGAATTAGATTGGCCCGTGAGATATTTGAGCTTTACGACACGAGCTAATCGGCCTGGTTTGACAAGCGATTACCTTTACGTTAGGCCGGGAACTGTTTCCCACGTTTAGCGCGTTGCTTTGGGCGCTCGGGCAGCTGAAACTCAGCGTGAAGAATGCGCAGTGTCTCCGCCACAAATCAACCGTTCGGAAAACCGATGTGTTTTAAGTGATTCATTCCGTGCCACACTCGGATGCTTCATGTTACTTTAAGCAAAAGTTCCGGAATTGTTCCAATAGGACAGCACGACGGGCAACGGCACTTTGCATAGCGGTTGCCGCCAGAGCCATGAATCTAGGTGACAAGTAGCCAAAGCGCCAAATGACTCTACCTACTACATAAACTTCTTTCGTGACGCAATCAAGCAATGAAGTAACATGCCTGCATTCCTCGTTATAAAAATATTACTTAGTGTAGTTTTCAAACGTGAATCTGGTTATGCCAGGCATCATGCTTGCCCCAATTCCTCCAAATGCAAAAGAGTCCCTTTAGGAGTTTTTTCAGGAAAATGTCATTGAAGTGCAGCCCGGTTTTTCACAATTTTACCCCAGGAAGAGCTTCCTTGAAACTTCTAAAAGTGGTAAATTTGTGAATTACTATTGTAAATAAGTGTTCAATATCAAGTTTGGCGCCGATATTTTTTATGAAATTGAGACCAAGGCATACACATTATATACAGGGCATACAAGGCATAGGTACATCATACACATTAGTCATGTACGTGTTCATGTTCCAGACGCGTATACGTGCTCCGAAATATGCTAGCAAATATGCTAGCTGCATGACCCACTTACTTTACTAACGCGAAATGACTGTGAGAATGAATAAATCTTGACCATGAGCATAATACAGCTTTTGAGGCGGCATTATGTTTGAGGCTTGTGTTACGTCCCCATGACGCTGCTCGCGCATGTCCGGGTGACTTTCAGATAGGCGGCGCGTAAAAGGCTGCCCACGTTCGTGTGCTTCAAGCTCAGAAACAAGTGGGTTAGAAGTCTTAAACAGGGTTTGACTGTGACCTGCAGGGAACGATCATGAAAATTGGCACGTCAACTAACACTTCCATGCGAATGGGGAACCATTCCTATCCTGTTCCTTCACCTGTACATTCCTTCGCCTGTTCATTGTAGCCCGTCCGTGAGTGGACGCCAAAAATGCCTTTAACCCGGGCTAGAGTGGCATGGCGGCTCGTGGAAAGCGATAATATCCAAACCGTATTTTGTAGGCTCACCATTCACATTCCCACATAGGCGAGAAAGCGTCATTATGTGCCATGTAGCTTCTCTGTGTTCTGTGGTCTGACGCATGTGGTCGTGATGATCCATCACAACTCGACCCCTAGAGACGGCAGTGCAAAGTGGAAGCCGGTGCAAGGAAGGAGGCAGCGGCCCTTCATTCATATTATCCATTTTCAACAACCCAACTTTTCGAAACACGAATCCAAAAGTAAAATTTTGTATTGAGTTGGTTGTCTAAAAATATTATTGGCCCTGAATGATAACTTATGGTATGATGGTGATAATTGCTCGCATTTGTTATTGCTGAGATGTAAAAGAATGTCTTCTTAATTAAACACACTCTTTTACCTCTCAGCTATAACAAATATGATAGCTGAAATATAGATATGGTCTATACATGTGTATATATATATATATATATATATATATATATATATATATATATAGATCAAAAAATAGATATAATAAATTGCACTTTTTACAGCTGAGATGTAAAAGAATGTCTTCTTAATTGAAAACATGCTTTCACATCTCAGCTATAAAAGGTTGTTGTGTGACAGCCTGAGGTTTGTGCAAAGACCGACTTTTTTGTTCATTTTCGTAATTTACCGTGTTATGAGTCGTTTTTACTCCATATGTTGCACAAAGCTCACCCCTACTAACCGTTCTAAAAACGACGGAGAGAAAAGTGATGCTTGAAAAGATGCGCATTGACGAAACTTTAGAAAAAGTCACGACATTTTTGTTTGCTGCTAAGGAACGGCCTTTGTTTGCCGGGTAAACAAACATGCACCAGCGGTGGGACGTGGGGGAGGGGCTCAGAGCTCACCATAAGGTCATAATTCCAAACGTTCAAAACGTGCTAGCAACCGATGCCTCGAAAACTGCACGGGAACGTGATGGCTATACCGTGCGAAGCTGGCGTCATGGCATCAGTAGGCGTAAGTTATTCAAAGCGAACATGAAATCCCTGTTCCAAACACATGACGGCGGGCGGCTGAGTGAGAATAGGGGCGTGGGACAGAAATCCGGAAGCAAAGGTCGGGGTGACCAGCAGCCTAACAATCTCATGGAGGGTTTCTTGTGATTTCTTATGTTGTGTTAAGAAATGGTAAGCTTATTGGGTTCGGTATTGATGCGTCGGTATCAGTCCACCCTCAGAAACAGTACTGTAGTGTTCGTTTAAAAGCCTCATTTGCCAAAAGATGTTAAACTATAATAACGTTTCTTTGCTTCGCCAGGAATCTCCTTTATTCACGACCATAGACCATTTCGGGTTCGATCGTGAATTTGTCTTCAAATATCTTATCGATGGTCAGGTTGCAAAACCGTTCTGTTCAGTTCAGTTCATTTTTATCGACGAATGAATGTAGCAAGTGAATTATTGATTAATGATTTGTAGGTTGATAGTATAGTAATACATTAATTACAAGAACGTAAACACATCCAAACAGGTGTCAAAAATATGAAATAGTATTCATCAACAACTTGTCGTTACACAGCGCAAGCCTATCATCTAGTTTCTTAACAAGATCCCTGGGGGTGCGAGAGGCGATGAAAGTCAGTGGCAGACGGCCTAAGGATGAGGCCATGCGATTCGAAAAGGTCTTTCTAGCTATCGACAAGCGGAGAGCTGGCAGCACAAGGGTGCCCAGGCCGCTGCACCTGGGTCGCACGCTGGCATATAGCGGGTGAGGGGTAAACGGGACCGTACCGCCACCGGATCCCGCGAATCATCCAGATCTCTGAGCACAACAATGCTGTCACGATAGATCAATTACACGAGATCAGTTGCATGTGATATGTTCATGATGATGATCAATCTCACAAGACCAGTTACCCACGCCAACCCAGCGCTTTGGCAGCCGGCGATGTGTAATATCGTCACCGAGCCTCGGCTATGATCCCGGTCTCACAGCCCTCCACCTCTACCACCGAGCCCCGGCTATGATCCCGGTCTCACAGCCCGCCACCTCTACCACCGAGCCCCGGCTATGATCCCGGTCTCACAGCCCGCCACCTCTACCACCGAGCCCCGGCTATGATCCCGGTCTCACAGCCCGCCACCTCTACCACCGAGCCCCGGCTATGATCCCGGTCTCACAGCCCGCCACCTCTACCACCGAGCCCCGGCTATGATCCCGGTCTCACAGCCCGCCACCTCTACCACCGAGCCCCGGCTATGATCCCGGTCTCACGGCCCGCCACCTCTACCACCGGCCCCGGCTATGATCCCGGTCTCACAGCCCGCCACCTCTACCACCGAGCCCCGGCTATGATCCCGGTCTCACAGCCCGCCACCTCTACCACTATGTTGTTGACACGCTGCAGCCCCTCCCCGCATCGAGGGGCAGTAATGGACATGGGACAGTATAGGGCAGGAGGGAAAACGTGCGACTGGATACGAAGCTTACTGGCCGTGGGGTGAGGTGGCGACGCGTTTTATATCGAGAAGGATGGAGTTGCACTTCTTGACAAAATCGGACTTGTGATTCTCCCAGGAAAGTAGTGCAAATAATAAAAGCATTAGTACTGCCAGGATGGAGAAAGACGAAAAAAGGAGGAAATGATGAGTTAAGAAATGGAATCGAGCTAAGACATGGTCTATGGTCGTGAATAAAGGAGATTCCTGGTGAAGCAAAGAAATGTTATTATGGTTTAACATCGTTTGGCAAATGAGGCTTTGAAATGAGCACTACAGTACTGTTTCTGAGGATGGACCGATACCGACGCAACCCTGATCTGGGGGCTCCACTCTCAACTGTTGCCTTGGCTTATAATAGTGTCAACTGGACGATGCTTTGGGCCTCTACCAGCTTTTGCTCTTTAACAGTGCCCCTCTGGCCCAGTATATTCACACTTATGAACGACGTGTCTTCTGGACACGGTGGAGTGTGCTCAGTAATCGATCCTCCTAGGTCACCGCGATATCATGGAAATGAGCCGACTGGTCACCACACGTGACCGCCCCCACAGCCACGGATCCTCCGAGGTCGCCGTCTCCTTGAAATAAGCCCACCGTTCACCACCCGTGACCGTCTCCACAGCCACACTTTGCTCAGTACACGACACCCTTCTCTGTCATTGTGCGTAACATATATGTCAAGGTGTGCTTTGACGATCGATGATATCAGTGATGTGGTTTTGGCTAGCTGTGATTTCGAGGCGTGCTTTTGCAATGAGCGGTGTAAATAAAAGGCACTTGTTAGTAATCATGAATTAAATTAAAAGTATGAGTAGAAGCTTCTGCTAAAAAAACACGGGGGGAGGCGAAAATGAGTGTGACCACATTGTGTTCACTTTTTGTGGCTTCCTCCCCTCCGGGCGGGTCCGTTGACCTTGAGTTTCCCTCCCCTCCTCCTCCCCCTCACCACCACCACTTTTACCAGTCTGAGCCCCCAACGTGCGGGACGTAGCCCCTGATAGCACGGACGGGTAAGAGCAACGATTGGTTCCATCTAACACATGTCACGCACGCAACAGCATGGCATCTGCTCAGTCAGCTCTGCTGGATTTGCATGGTAAAGGCTCCCAGCGTTGCCAATCTTGCGTGTGTGCTGCCGATTTTCTGTGACCCTGATCTGTCACATGCGTGTCACAGTGTCTGTGTTGTATTGCTCTCTGTGATCCACGTGAATCCGTGTGCTGCCACTGCTCTGACACAGCTGTTCCTGTCCCCACTTAGCCGAACTCTCACTCTCAGTGTCTGCAGTGGTATTCGGTCAAGGCTAGTCATCAAACTGACGCATCACCAGCCCAGGGCGGTGCCCTTCAAGCGGCCGGCTGACCCGCGACGCCTCTGCCCCGCAGACGTGGGCGCCTCCTCAGTGCCAGCCGACCTGCGGCCGGGCCCCACGCTGGGCCTGCGCGTCGTGGTGCCCGTGGTCGCCTCCCTCGTCAGCCTGCTGATGGTCGCCTCGGCCGCGTATCTATGCGTCCGGAAGAGTGAGTGCACGGTAGAAAGGTCCCCGCAGGCGCCGCCGGCCTCGCATCGTTGCTGGTGACCTTTGGCCGCCGGCCGGTGGCCAGGTTTCCGATGCAACGCAAACGCCACGGTCTGCTAGAAACAGAGGTGTTCGTTTTGGCGCCGTGCCAGCCCACGTAGGGATGTGTTCCTGCGACCCAGCACGTGGCTGGCGAGCGATCCGACCGGCCGGCCAGCCTGATGTAATAGCCGTCAGCTGTCCCGTCGTCACGACAATGACAATCAGCTGGCTCCGGGTTCTATGGGACACTGCCGCCGGCTTTGTGGTCGTCGATGGTGAAATGTGCAGAGAGTGGACAGCTCATATCCATGGTCCTGTCCATGAGTCTCAGGTGAAAAGCCAATCTATTAAGCGGGGACCCTACGTCAGCTTTTACTGCCCTCCCGAGAAAAGGCGGTGACATGACTCTCCACAAGTGAAGACGTTGAGCAACTGGTGACGCATGGGTGAGCTCTGACGGTCGGGGTCTGGTCCTGCCTGTTGCCCAGGGCGGCGGAAAGTGCCGCTGTACTTGGCGGAGCCGCCGGGGTACGCCGTCGGTGGCAAGGCCCCGGAGCCACCTCCGCCGCCGCCGCCGCCGCCGCCACCGCCGTCGCTGCCGGCGTCTGTTGCGGAGCCCCAGAAGCGTGAAGGTCAGTCAACGCCGAGCTGCTATAAAGCTGGTCGAGTAACTGGGATCGCTTCTTGGCGTGTGACTTGTTTCTTGGCCGGCTGTAGGCCGAGCATGTGCTGCTCAGCTCAGCTTAGCATGCAAGATGTAAGGCAAGCCCAGTTTAATATGCTGGTCTGTTTTATGTCGGCAAGGAGTCATTTAGGTATTAGTTAATGGTGGGGAATAACGATTGTCGCACTGGCTCCTTTTAAAATAATGGCATGACTTGGGCTGCCAATATCTCCACAGCAGAATCATGGCATGATTTGGGCTGTCAATATCTCCTCGGCAGAATCATGTAATTTGACGATTCAGTCTGCCGTGGAATGAGCTAGACTGGCCTGGTCCCGCCATGTACGTTAGGAGGGAATCTATTCATCGTGACATCGGCTGTAGTCCGCGCACGTTGCAGGGCTTTGTAACCATCTCATGCCGAACCGCTCACCAAGTGCATACGGCCCGCTGATGCTCCTCTGTCAAGCTCCAGGTGCTCGACAGGATGCAGATGCTCCAGATGCTCCAGATGATCCAGATGCTCCTTTTTCCGCCTGGTGTGAAATCCGTGATATGATTTGATTGTCACGAAATTTTGACAGCCTTATTAGCTGCTGGTGAATCGATGCAATTTTGACGAAGTTTTGGCGATCTAACCAAGTTGGACATGATGTCGGTCGTGAGTTGAATTGGGCGGTGACGCCGGACTGGCGGCGGGCTGAGCGGTCCGTGGGACTCGGGTTCCCGTCTGGAACGCCGGACGGGCGGCGGGGTGAGCGGTCGGTGGAACCCGGGCCCGCGTCTGTTCACCGTCGCGAGATATGGTCAGGGCGGAGAGAGGTAGTCAGAAACGTTGCTCAACCTTCCTAGCCGTTACCACCTGCGTGGCCTGGCACCCCAGGCGGGCCTGCCCTATAGTCTGCGGGGGGCCGTCTCCGGGAGGACGGAGCGGGCGGTGGGCGCTGTACCGGCTGATGACATCTGCCCCAGGTCTCGCCGAGGACATGAGACAGGTAGGGGTGGGAGATTACGTCAGGTGGTCCGGTGACTTATGGGTACGCTAAGGACAGGCAAGGGACGGAAGCCGCTCAAAGGACCAGAAATGTGAACGTGAGGAAGAAAGATGAAGAAATGTGTAGATACTAGAAATGGGAACGTTCACATTTAGACCTCTGCAGAGTATAGCTCCCCCCAAGCCGCGGTCTAATATATAAGTTCGGATAGTTTGTATGAAGCCGCCTCGGACACTGAAATGACCCCGAACGGTTGGTTACTCATCAGCGGCTCACACAAGATTCCTGTGAAGACGTGGAAGGTTAAGGTTCAGGGTTCAAGTGACGAACAGCCAGTTAAAGGTTTGGCAATACAGTTGGAGTCGTGCAGCAAGTATTGTACAGCCTGTGTGAATTATTGTACATCCTCTCCGTCACAGTGATCATTGGTGAGTCCTGTTGAGGAGAAGGGGAGATGCTTTTAAAATGGATTCATTATATTTTGCGGAAGCTCGCTGAGGCGCATAGTGTAGGAAGGGGAGCGACCCACCCCCTCTGTGGATATGTTCAATGAAACCCTGGCGCGACGTTTATGGCAACAAAAAAGAGAACCAGCTGGAAAATGCTGACATCGCGGGGTATAAACTGTCGCTGATGCAGCCTGAGTGTACCTGCAGCAAAGGAAGGCTTCTGACATCACTGGTGACCTCCTATGTAGAATGCTATACGTCATGTCAGTACCACACTGGGTCACCAAGGAAAATCCAGTTCCAGTGTATAATGTGTCAATATTAATTCTGAACAGTGCAAAATGCATTTTGAATTCCTGTTCGAGATCGGCAAGGGGCTTTGGGACGTCGCAGCTGTCTTCAGTGAGCAACCGCATGCTGTTCTGGTCTGGGAACGGATGCAGTGGTGCACTGTTCGCATTGTTACGCTCCGCCTTGCTGCTGGTGATATGGTCTGGCCGGAGCGCGCTGGGCTGCTGCTGGGTACGAACCTCAGGTCAGGCGAGCTCTCGCCTTACTGTCGATGACCGAGCCGTTTTAAAATGGCTGCCGAGGGGCTGTGCGACACTAACAATGTCTGCAGCCGTGTCCGGCAGACGGGACGGGGGCATCATTATTCAGTGAATTGGGGCGGCTCGCTGCAGGTGGCCAACTGGGAATGCGTCACAAGCTCCGTTCAGCCAGTTTGATGTACACAAAACACACAAATACAGAACATTCGAGCTTATTCTCTTAAAAATTTAGAGTGGTTTAGCAGCCTCCGAGAAGCCAAGGAAGCTGCGGATCTTCTAGGAACCTTCGGACCAAATTATGCGTATTGATAAAAACGGCAGTTTTCTAATGCGACCTTATAGGTAAAGTCCGGCTACCACAGTGCTCTTGTGGCCTTTGGACACTTCCCACTCGAAGATGAAGTTTGTCACCCTGTCTTCCTTAATTATGAACATTGAATGCCGAACGTGCGAACATCGGATGATCCCTCCCTGTCGGAGATCTCATAATGCCCTTGCCCTTTCCAACAGTTTCCAATTGTCCAATAGTCAAATAATTGACTCGCCATTATTTTCTTGAGGCGCAATTCCACCGCTGCTTGCCTTCGGATGGTCATGAACCTAGTCCCCGTCCCCTCGCTGGTTCAAAACATAGCCCCACCGCCACTCTAGACCCTGTCCCATCGCCACTCCAGACTCCGGTCCCACCACCACTCCAGACCCCAGTCCCATCGCCACTCCAGACCCTGGCCTATCGCCACTCCAGACTCCAGTCCCACCACCAGTTCAGACCCCAGTCCCACCGCCACTCCAGACCCCAGTCCCACCACCACTCCAGACCCTAGTCCCATCGCCACTCCAGACCCTGGCCTATCGCCACTCCAGACCCTGTACCACCGCCACTCCAGACCCCGGTCCCACCACCAGTTCAGACCGCAGTCCCACCGCCACTCCAGACCCCAGTCCCACCGCCACTCCAGACCTTGTCCCATCGCTACTCCAGGCCCCAGTCCCACCGCCTGTCCAAATCCAAGTCCCATCGCTTCTCCATACCCAGTCCCAGCGCTACTCCAGATTCCAGTCCCATCGCCTCTCCAGACCCAGTCCCATCACTTCCACAGACCCCAGTCCCAGCGCCACTCCAGCCCCCAGTGCCATGGGCGGTCCGAGTGCGGCGCCGCCGCCGGCCTGGCCGCCCCGTCGCTGGGCGGGCGGATGGGCCGTTTCGTAAGCAGGGACGCCTGGTCGATCGCCGGCGGGCCGACGATTTAATGGCCGGCCGCCAGCGCCCCGGGGCTGGCCGTTTGACCGGCGCCGAACGCCGCATGAAAAGTGAATGTGCGCGCGTCTGACAGGGTTCAAAGGTCAGCTCGGGCGGCCGGGCAAGGTCGTTCGCGCACGTCCGCAGGGCAGCGGCTCACCGCTGGTCGGCGGACGCGGTGATGAATGTTGAGATGTGTACGGTGAGCGGCGCAGGGTCACTCGAAGCTGCGGAAGAACTGGTGCCCCGAAGACGTCACGTCCGCCCTGGTGCGCAAGAATAATAGTCTTCGAAATATTGCCTGGCATTGGACGGAATATTGGCTGGTTGTTTTAACGTGAGGGGGTCGGTGAATGAGAAGGATGAGCATGGATATTGGCCGTTAAGTAGCAGCCGCCCGATGGGTCGATATCATACCTTCAGCTCTCACTGATCCTCGCCATTCCCACTGAGAAAGGAAAGGTTTTTGCATGATGAACAAAAAGCGTGATTTGTTGGAGCGTGATTGAAAAGCGTTATTCGTTGAAGAAGCGTGACGATGCGTTGGAATTTGAATTGGATCAGTGGGTCATCTACGGTCCAATGACGACCTCTGCTCATGCGTCCGATACCCAGGACCACAAATTTGATACGGATCAACTGCCGAGGTCGTGTAGGTGCGTAATCAAATCAGGACTGTCGCCTTGTCACTGCAACGCGTATGCACGCAACCTGTCTCACTACTGTATTTTAAAGTTGGGAGCCTCGAAGACAATTGCTAATGATTTTGAAGTGTTGAATTGCTGTTGATGCACGTGATGGACCTTCGCATTCTACCCGTGAACTTCGACGATCAACAGCGAATCATTCCCTCCTGTGTGATGACGTCACTCTTCCCGCCACCTGCGCCGGCAGATGTATGCCCGTACGCCACGTATTACCCGGCGTCGCGGAGCCGGGCGCCGGGGCTGACCTCAGGTCACTGTGCGTCGCTGCCGACCCCGCTGGCCGCTGACCCGAGCGTCGACATGGAGGCCGCGTACGCCGACCCACGGCAGCACCTGCTCAGGCTGCCCCTGCACGGCCCGCCCCAGGTAACCGGCCTCAGCAGTACTACCCGTGACGTCACTGTGCGACGTGCGTCACTGGGGTCCAAGCCGTTTTGGTGGCGTCTTGTGTATGGCGCCTGAGGTGAGCTCGGTGAATGTACTAAATGCCCGAATATGCACACAGCTGTATACCGAATCTCATTGTCCTGTAAGACATTGTCTCATTGTCCTGTAAGTTTTTAGTGTGTAATTGAATCTTGCATTGCATCCCAGTGCGGTTACTCTTACCGTATTTCTTCCCATTTGTGTGATGTAATTTTTCATTTGTCCCATTTATGTCATGCAGTATATCGCAATGCAACCTGTTCTTACCGCGTTCCCTCCCACTTGTGCATTCAGTTCACCAATAGACGAGCTATTCAACTCATTTTGCCTACACGCCTTCCTTACCGGATGTACTGCTGTTATTGCTCGGACGCCTCTTGTCGATTGTGCAATGTGTATGATCAGGCCGTTTGTTTTTGTGCACTTGTTATTAGAAGTCTCTTTTACTCAAAAATTGCCAAATGTCAATGGGCGAGAGGCGTCCAGAGACAAAGCCGGCGGCCACGCCGGTGTTCGGAGCTTTCAGGGCATTCGCGTCATGTGCGCGAATGTCAGCGACGCTGCCCTCTCTGTGTTTCGGTTCGCTTTTTTCTTGTATTGCTTTATTCCTCATGGGTGTGTTGTAGGTACTTCACGGAATGTCCATAGTGTATTTCGTCCTATTGCCGGTTCTATTGCGTGGCCCAGATTTCAGCAGGGCTGGCCTGTGAGTCACCCCGATGCAATGAAACTTACAAAAGTGTCTGGGATCGGACTCGAGGTACCCAAAAGTTACTGGGGTCCCCCCCCCCCTCCGATCCCACCGGTGGTTACGCCTATGATAACTGCATAGTTAATATAAGGCCCTGTGGATTCTCCTAAAGATGTGGGGGGGGGGGGGGGAATGGGGGCTGGGTTGGTCCAATCAGTTCAGACATGCAGTCTCAGGCAGCTGGGGCCAGTTTGGCGGGAAGCGGCCTACTCCCCCCCCCCCCCATGATATGACTTACTCGTCAAATGGCCCCTTATTTCGAACACCCCGTTTATGGATCATTTAATTTTGAGAGGCCATTTCTGAGCTCTCTTCTGGACTCTCACTGAGAGTCCTGAGCACCCGGGGGAGCATTTCATTTGTCAAATGTTCAGCGACCAATGTCTCAGCAGGCAGAAAGATCCCTTAGTAGCATCTTGCACTCATATTATCGCCACAGTCTTTGCGCAGATAAGAGGCGATTATCGAGACATCTGAACCAGAAGAAATGGCAGAAGTGACCAGAACAAAGATTGAACACCTTGGGGATATACATGAAAAATGTATGTCTGACTCAGTGAATAAAATCGTTTTTGTAACCACAGTTAAGCAGCTGTTTAATGCAAACATTAATACACAAATTGTTTGTATTACCGCCACTAGGATTTCGACACTTGTGCGCATGTGATGTATCACCAAACGCTTGGCAGCATCAATTAATGGCCTGGATGAAAGCGTTGAAAGTTGGACTGTGCACTGATAATTTTCTTGGTCATTTCCGTTTTAATCGAAAGATTATTTGTGCCCAAAAAGCAAAATTAACGTACGTCTTATCGCCATGTGAGCCAAGCTTAGTATGCTGATGTGTTTGTCTGTATATATAGAAATATATATATATATATATATATATATATATATATATATATACGTATATAGTTATATGTGTATGCTGCCTTAAATCGGATGTGGCTAGTTGGTTTCAACCAAATCTGGGTAAATTTTAACAGCATGGGCATGTGGTTGGCCGATTTTTTTCAATGAGACGTTCGCAGAGAGTTGTTGATTTTGCATGACCTGTTTTGCTGATGTGTGTTGTGCCACGTGATATGGCACGGGTAATCTGGTCTTGGCATCTTTGCTAGAGAAATCATGGCGTGCCATTTCTCATATTGACTTGTGCGGCTACACTATTCTAGCCAGCCGTCTAGTATGATCCGCAACCCGACCGAAGAGCTCACGGCTTAACACCGTATCGGATGTGGCTAGTTGGTAGGCCAAGAAGTGGCGTCTACAGCCCACGTCGAGTAATTGACCTAACTGGTTTGTCTTCACCAGATAACTGGCATCTCAACTGAGCTGGATGGTCACGTTCCACAGGAGATGGCTAACTTCATAACAGGCGCGCAGCGGGGAGCTGGCGTGGGCGCGGCCCTTGACGCGTCACGGCGAGTAGGACCCAGCAGTATTAGCACTTACGGCAGGCTTCACGTTCCACACCGACCCCTACCCGCTTCATGTACAACGGCGCTCTTTCATTCATTCGCACAGCGGCCTTTCACGCCGGCTTAAGCGGATAAAACGAAAGCACTTCTGCGGGCGAGTCTCAAACCATCGGCCGTCCGTCATGACACGAGCCGAAACCGGACTGGTCGCACTTTGTTCTGTTCGAGTATTGGTGCTCATGATCACCACCCGGAGCCTTCTGCCATTCGGAGTCGCTGCCCGGTAACCCCTCCAGGTTTCCTTCCTAGCTGTCCCATGCGTGGAGCGTGTTTCCAGCGTTCGCGCCAGCCGTGTTACGCAGGATGTGGCGTGCGCTGCAGCTGCGGGCCGCATCCCCGTGCCGCCATCAACGCCATCGATCTCTTCCGGTGCCCTGTGACCCCCGGCTGAGTACGGTGTCACGCTCACCCAGGCCTCGGAGACGCTGCTATCCCCGAGCCCCGAGCGGCGCTGCGGTGTGCTCGCTCGACCGAGTTCACTCACGCGCGCGCTCGGGGCTGGCGTTTTGTCTGCGCGCTGTGACGTGGCTGGCGTGGCAATGGCTGTTGTGTCGCGTACAACGGGGCGTTGACTCAGTACGCACATGAGAAACCGACTGAGCGGCCTTCAGACTGTGACCGCCCGCACCTCCCGCGGCGTCACGGAGTGAGGAATGTGATCGCCATCCTCTGGAGGAGGGCACTCCGGCTCGGGGGCGCATCCCCCGACCACGCAGCCGGTCGCTTCTCACGCCTATCCAGCTGCTCGCGCCCTATCGCACGTTTCATCAGGTCACGCAGCTACGCACAACCTCCCGCGAGCGCGTCATTGACGGGTAGGAATCCGAACGATGTATGAAGCGAAACCGGGTGATAAAACGATGGGGGCCACCACGACGCTGCCTGCTATCTGATCACGTTCACGTCTTCGCTCATCGCGCGATAAGGTCTCCCATCCTTCCGTCCAGCTGCCCCGTAACCTGTCTTTGGATGGAGGCTGTCTGGTCGGATATCTGCTCAGGGCTAGTCTTTGTCCTCCGCGTGACCGGGCTGGTGCTCGTCGCGCTCCGCCCCGACGACAAATGCGGCGCGCGCGTCGCACCGCGCTCTTGCGACAGATGCGGCCCGTTCCGCTTCGACCCGCCGCGGCGGCTGGGGAAGTCAGAGAATCGTACCATTCCCTGTGTGTGAGGCAGTGGAAAAACTACCATGACGTTACACGCGTCCAATCCCCAAAGCTCACATCTCCTAGGAAAGCGTTGGAACTCGTATCTCAGCCCGGAATGATACTGTTTGCCTCGCATGTAAAGAATATACACACCGTTGGAACTCGTAGCTCAGTCCGGAATGATACTGTTTGCTTCGCATGTAAAGAATACACACACCGTTGGACCTCGTAGCTCAGCCCGAAATGATACTGTTTGCTTCGCATGTAAAGAATACACACACTGTTGGAACTCGTAGCTCAGCCCGAAATGATACTATTTGCTTCGCATGTAAAGAATACACACACCGTTGGAACTCGTAGCGTAGCCCGAAATGATACTGTTTGCTTCGCATGTAAAGAATACATACACCTGCTATGATTTGCACGAATTCCTGTCGACAAAAATATTGTGCGTCTCCTGCAGGTTTGGGAACAATTATTACAATGTGAGCATGGAATCTGAACGGAATAGCTACGAGTAACCCTGGGGCCAGTTCCAAACTCAGTCATCAACCAGCCGTGCACCCTTGTAATCTCCACAATGTGGCTATTCCGGCTATGCGTCAGGTTTCACAGGCGTACTCACACACATGCACACTGGCAAATGCGCACGCACACGGAGCAAGACTATCGGATGAACGGATCATGGCCTTGACTATCTATCCCACTGGCGTTTTCATGTGCGACACGGATGGACACTGCATCGCGGTACAGCACACGCTCTTTTAGAGATAGTAGTGAAATAATAATAATAAATCATTCTTAAACAAGCGCTGAGGACCAGTAGTTGGTTGCAATGCCACCCAAACGCGTCCTGACATCGTGCAAAGAATGGTACTGGTAATATTTTAATTTTGGCTATTAGACCTGGTTACAGTTATTGGACCACCACTAACACGTTCAGGGACTGGTGGCATTGTGGCAATTCGAGAATATTTGTTATCAGCTGTCTCGGTTTACTCGTGTCTCGTGTTACTCGCCAGTAGCTTTTAGAATTAAGGCTTTTGCCATAACCGCACAAATAATTTAGGTACATTTCTGCCAAAAATGATTTGCATAGCAACAGATATGGCCGGCCGGGCGGCCTCTAACCGAAGAAAGACCGGACTTTGCCACACTGAATCGTCTCGGCTGTGACTGAGCTTTTTTATGGGGGCGAATATCAGCGCACAAAGTCACGGCTGAAGTGATTGTGGCAAATTCGTCACAATCTAGATGGTTTGGTGTCGCTCGCTTTGACCGGCGTGAGATATTACAGGGGCTGGTATACGTGCCACCAGCATGTGCACTACCGGTATGTGGACCAAGTGTGCGCAATGCTATGCAATTCCGGGACAACGTTTGCTAAAGATGGTTATTTTGTGAAACGTCAGGAACACCTATGTAAGCTAAATATACGTTTTAGATGTCTTGAAATGACTTGATAACTTCAGATGGCTTGATAGTGGTGACCCCGAGTTCAAGACGCCAACATGGGAACATACGAGGATAGCTTCTCAAATTTGAATATTGCGCATTTTAGGTCCGCTTTTGGACAACGGACTTCGCATTTCAATTTTCTCAAGTATATCTAGTGACACGTGTCTGCAGTTGAATCTCGATCTTGTAAGTGGGAACGTCATTTTGTTATTTCGATGAAAATACCAACAATTAATTTCCCTTCAGTAACATCGTAGCGTGAAGTATGCGACAGTTGCGCGTTATGGTGGGTCGACGTGCGACAGTTGCGCGTTATGGTGGGTCGACGTGCGACAGTTGCGCGTTATGGTGGGTCGACGTGCGACAGTTGCGTGTTATGGTGGGTCGACGCAACAGCCCGCTACGCACCGTCGATCTGACCCTTAAGAAGGCTAAACCTAGCTTTCCTCCCGGGCGAGTCGACCGCCGCAGTGTAACCAGTTTGTGATACAACTGTCGGTTATTTCCGCACTCCTGAGCCTTCTGCTCGTCCGACCCTGCACTCTGCTGGCCGTCTCCCTGTCCTCCTCACCGCATCCCTCTGACCCCGGGCTTGTCATCCCCTGCCCGTCCCCGTGCTCCTCACCACAGCTCGGATGCGCCCCGGGTAGTCCCGGTGCCGCGCGGCGCCGACCGCCGCTGCTGGCCCATCCACACGGCGTCACTTCCCTGCCGCACCTGGCAGGCCTTTCACTCTCGTTCGACCGCGGCGACCGCCCATCTCCGGCGTCTGCACCTCTCTCGGAATCCCAAGAGGGTCGACTCCGGTGCCGCTCGCGGTGCGACCCGTGACCCCCGCGCCGCCCGCGAGCTGTGCGGACGCCAGCAGTCGGACGCCAGAGGTCGTGTTGTGTTGGTCACTGGGGACGTGTGACCCTATGACCAACACAACACAACACAATACACGTGTGACATGATATCAGCGGATCCCAAGATTGCAGCCTGTGTATAGATGTACGGTTATGATCGACCAATCGAGTGGTGCCATGTGGTAGAGACGCTTGCGTGGTCGTTTCCGGGCAGCGTGGTCTGCGTGGTCGTTTCCGGGCAGCGTGGTCTGCGTGGTCGTTTCCGGGCAGCGTGGTCTGCGTGGTCGTTTCCGGCCAGCGTGGTCTGCGTGGTCGTTTCCGGGCAGCGTGGTCTGCGTGGTCGTTTCCGGGCAGCGTGGTCTGCGTGGTCGTTTCCGGGCAGCGTGGTCTGCGTGGTCGTTTCCGGGCAGCGTGGTCTGCGTGGTCGTTTCCGGGCAGCGTGGTCTCATTGTCCGGCTCATGGGGTGGAACGGCATCTTCGTTTGGGAAATCATATCGTATTCAGCCATTGGTGGTATGGTCTGAATCCGAGAGGAGACGTGCGATCTACTCGTCTCTGTTACACAGTCTGAAATACGCCGTCTCATGATCCAGTAGTGCGGCGCGCATCGCTGTCTGCACATCCCCGTCTGCTCGGAGCACATCCCCGTCTGTTTGGCGCACATCCCCGTCTGCTCGGTACACATCCCCGTCTGATCGGTGCACATCCCCGTCTGCTCGGTACACATCCCCGTCTGCTCGGTGCACATCCCCGTCTGCTCGGAGCACATCCCCGTCTGTTTGGCGCACATCCCCGTCTGCTCGGTACACATCCCCGTCTGATCGGTGCACATCCCCGTCTGCTCGGTGCACATCCCCGTCTGATCGGTACACATCCCCGTCTGCTCGGTGCACATCCCCGTCTGCTCGGCGCACATCCCGTCTGCTCGGTGCACATCGCCGTCTGCTCGGTGCACATCCCCGTCTGCTCGGCGCACATCGCCGTCTGCTCGGCGCACATCCCCGTCTGCTCGGTGCACATCCCCGTCTGCTCGGCGCACATCCCGTCTGCTCGGTGCACATCGCCGTCTGCTCGGTGCACATCCCCGTCTGCTCGGCGCACATCCCGTCTGCTCGGTGCACATCGCCGTCTGCTCGGCGCACATCCCCGTCTGCTCGGTGCACATCCCTGTCTGCTCGGCGCATATCGCCGTCTGCTCGGCGCACATCGCCGTCTGCTCGGTGCACATCCCCGTCTGATCGGTGCACATCCCCGTCTGCTCGGCGCACATCGCCGTCTGCTCGGCGCACATCCCCGTCTGCTCGGTGCACATCCCCGTCTGCTCGGTGCACATCCCCGTCTGCTCGGCGCGGATTTCCGGCTGTGGATTTGCTCCTGGCATTCCCTGTGCGCTGCCGCCGGTCCGGGGAGGCACGCTCCAAAACCTCCCGGCGATCACCTCTCACACAGCACACACAAAAAACATCGGAGCAGCGCACCGACACGGACACTGCCGCGGCCTTCACAGCCGTGAACCGATCGGTCACGAGCGGCACCCGGTCGCTGCCGGCGCGGCACGCCTCGATGAGCGACCGTCGAGAAGACGTGACAGCGCTGCCTGTAGTACTCAATGATCGCAGTTGTAGCAGGTTGGGTGTACAGATCAAGATTTGTCCATTTGTAGCGTGGCATTGTGCCCAGCTTATCGCGTGGGACTGAGGTAGATGTCATGCCTTAACTCTCGCCTTGCGGGAGCTTTTTCCCCTTTGCCCTACGAGTGAAGCCTCAGAGATAACAGGAGACCTATGGGGCTCTGATCTTAGGGCTAAGACAGGGAACAATGAGCGAGCTAAAGCCACCGGAGAATGGCTATGGAAAGCTCTCGGTAAATTGTAGAAGATAGGTGTGCCTTAGCAATGGTGAATGCGACCTTAAACGGGCAAAATTAGGTCATGTAAATCGGTCCTTTGTGAAGCTCTTCCGCTATATCGGGCATTAAGCATGCCACGACATTCGAGAAGACGGTGTCTAATGGTTGAAAAATATATCAGGCCGTCACTTGAGGAAAGCGACACTTGTGATCTATGCCATGTCATGTCAGGTCAGTGGGATGAAGACTTTTATAGTATTAACCTGTAACGTGGTATGAAGAACTAAGCATACCATACCAAATGAGAAGAAGGCTAAGAAGGGCCTTGCAACATTGTTAGATATGTACATACTATTATGGTTTGAATCAAACCCATGACATTCCGGGCTCCTATCTAGTCAAGCAGTTCAAAGTTGAACCCAGCTTTGATGGCCCTACCCTACTTAGTGTGCCAGGATGATGGAAATGTTGTTCAGAGTGGTGCCACGGCGGTGGTGTGGGTCCACGACTGACACAGCCGCTGTTGATGTGCATCCGCAGCGGCAGCGGGTGCGCAGTCTGCCGGTCAGCGATGAGTACGACTCACCCGACTCGGACTCGGACTCGGTGGGCGTGCTGGGTCAGGGCAGGTCAGCGTCCCTGCGCAGGGCCCACCGCCACCACGCGAGAGGTCAGTGGACGCGGCGACGCTGAGGGCTCTCCGCGCTTGCTTTGTGCCGTTGTGAAATGCCGCCACGTGGTCTGGTCCGGTCCTTCTAGAGCCGTTACGGTCATTGCTATGGACGGCTCTACCGGTACTGGTATAGAAACACGGCGGTCCCTCTCCCAAGGGACCAGTCAGCGCCTTTTGTCGGCGTGTGTTGCAGCAGCCGGCATTTTATTGCACATGCCATGCAGCTGCAGGTGACATCTGTCATGCGTGCAACGATGACAACCGTAACGCATTACGGCACTGAAACGACGCTTGTGCATGTATGTCAGTGGCGCAATGTTAAGCGCTGAAATGTTCACGCTGTCACGCCCAGACACCATTGTTATCGGCTCATATTTGCCTGTTGGTCAAGTTCGGAGAGGTTGATGCTGGTGCAGATGTATTGCAGTAAGACTGAGAGAAGTGCTACGGTATAGCAAGAAAGGCCCTCCCGAAGGAGCCAATCGCTGTCCATGTGCCGTCTTACTTGCGTAGTATGAGATGAATGTGTCGTGATAAAGCGCCTCTTCTCCAAAAGTCATGTTTCCATGTCAGTTGGTTATTGGATCTGCCCGCGTCGCTACTCGGGAGCCCTCGCAGTGGTCTATTCTGGGTAATCTCGACAGCCACCTTTTCTGGTTGACTGGGCAGAGTGCATGGTGGTGGTGCCGATATTCAGGAGTCATGTTTTTTTAATTACATAGGCATGTGGTCCATAAACATGAAAATATATTTTATCCGTTAAGTCATAGCTGATGCTAGTAACTCTTGAGCGTGCTGACCAGCGACCGCAGCTTCAAAGAATTCAGTTCAAAAACGGTGCGTCGTTTTTTTCGACCTAGGTACTCAGAAACGTCATATTGCATGCATTAGTGGTATATTTCTTATGTGGTCAGCCCTTGGCATCATTCACTTTCTGTTATGTTCTAAGATCATGATCCGAGTGAGCAGCTTTTGGGGGGGGGGGGGGGGAGGAGTGGGAAGCTCTGATAAATGGAGACGCACCTAACTGTTGTCTGTTCAAGGCCTGATCCCACGCTCGATTGGGTGAAGTATTTCTCATTTTGAGCTAGTTAGCAAGATACTTTGTATTTGACATAAGCGTAGCATGTTTATACAAACCTAAGCGAACATCACTAAACCAAGTCTTGGCTTAACTTCTTCTTACGGCCGGCTCATTCGCCTTGCCATCTCCAACTATCACGTCGTGTAGTGCGTTTGCTCATTCGGTGCCGGACTGGTCCATCAGCTTTCCGTTTTACATCGCTATATACGTCTCGGACCAGTCGATCTTATCTTCGGCTGTGCTCAGCGACGCTCTCCGGGTCGGCGGCGACACGATGGCGGGACTAGTCACGTGGCGTGGCGTGACACACAGCCGCGTGGTCGGCGTGACACGGGTCTGTCTCGTTACTCGAATTGCTACAGGGCGGGCGCCTTTTTCGTGCCCCGGTTGGGGCACGAAACACAGGGAACGTTTATGTATGTGTGTGTTTAGAAGAGAAGTGTCATGGGGAAAGGGATTGGTCGGAGGACCGGGAGCTGTCACGAGCAAATGTTGGTCTCTAACAGCCGGCGCCATGAGTGGGAGTCTGTTTCGCGGCTTGGCCGTGTGGCGCGAGGGACCGTCCATGACCGTGCGTTGGGTGTGGCAGCTTTCGGCCGCCCTACCGTGGCAGTAGACGTGCCGACCACTGGCTGTTCGCGTCCAGCCTGCCGACTGAAGCTGACACAGGCACTGGCGCTCAACTGTCAGGCGCCTAATAGGTCAGGTAGTGGGACTTGCCAACTTTTGACGCGGACAGTGTGGGTCCGGCCGGGGTGACCTTGCTGGGTAGCTGAACGGTATGAGCAGTGGGGTTTCTGCGCGGACATGGTGGGTGTGATGTGGGCCGAGGGAGGCTCAGTGTGGAAAGGAGGGTCCTTCTGTGGACGACTGATGTGGTCGGCGTGGGTGTGCAAGGTCCTGTCGTAGGAGCAGCGGCCGTGGCCGACCGACCCCCCCCCCCCCCCCCCTAGTTTACGGTGACCATTCACTGGCACGGACGCCAGGACCATGGCACTTTCGCCCCGTGAGAGGTCGGCGCTATCTATTCCGGTGCTGAGATCACTCCCTAGGCGCGCCCGTGGTAGAATGTTCTGGGCCTTATTCGGCCGTACCGGGTGGCCGGATGTACCACCGGCTACGGCCGAGCAGGATAGACATCTGACTCAGTGAAGGTGAATCTTCTCGTGATAAACGACATGTGCTCACAAACGTTGCTCAACATCGGCGGTCGCCCTGGTAGATCAAGTGTATGGATAGAAAGTAGAAAGGAATCGACGCATGCATGCGAGCGCAGACACGTTAGCACGTGTAAGCTGGTAATTTAGCGGCAGGTGTCGCTGAAGACGCCCCTGGAGACGCTCTGTCACTGGATGACTGATGGCGGCCTCTGCTGAGGAAGGCCTGTCACTTACAGGCTCCGCTATATATTCATTGTCCTTAAGCTTTTACTGTAATGTCGCCATGCTGTCGGAAAGCAGAGATAATGGAGGCTAAAAGCATCCCAAGAAGCGGTCGGAACCAAAATAGTTTGTTTAGGTAATCCGTCCCGTGGATCACCGGGGGGGGGGGGGGGGGGGGGACGGAATTCGGTCATCATGTCCTTTCACTTGATATTAGGACCAAGAATCGTTTCTCTCTCTCTTCCTGCATATACGACTGGAGACATGTGTAATGCCTTGGGAGAAAATGTTATATATAGAGAGGAGAGAGAGAGAGAGAGAGAGAGAGAGAGAGGAGAGAGAGAGAGAGAGAGAGAGAGAGAGAGAGAGAGAGAGAGAGAGAGAGCGGAGACTATATATATATATATATATATATATATTATATATTATTATATCTATATATATATATATCTATATATATATATATATATATATATATATAGATATATATATATACATATGACGTCCCGCGCACGCGACCCAAGGTCAGGCCACGGGCGACTCTCGGCTGGCCGTGCTGCCCGCTCTGGTACGTCTCGGTGACGGGAACGATGTGAGCAGCTGGGTAGTGTCTGCGTCGCCGCTAGACCGCGCTGGCTGACGAGTGGCTGCGGCTCTCCTAGTGTCGCACTATACTCTTCTTACTTGTCGGCTTACATGTGTTGTTTGTTTTAGATCCGAGGAGCGTCCCGCCTGTTTACATGCGTAGTGTCCGTCCTGACCTCTGGTTATGTACCTGTTTCCGCTCACCTGAACCATGTCCCCCCGCTGGTACTAACGATGCTTGAGGAAGCGCAGGTACTACACATTACACCACACTACTCGCTATTGTGCCCTGCTGACCCACATGGCGCTTCCTTTCTAACCCACACAGCAACCGCTCTGGCGCTGCTTCTAAACCACACCCCGCCCCGCTGCTAAACTCATCGTCGTCTCGCTGCGCCGATCTACACGCCGCTGCCGTGCTAACGTGATCGGCAGCCGTGATCGCCGCTATCGTGCTGACGTGATCCGCCGCTGCCGTGCTTACGTGATCGCCGCTGCCGTGCTGACGTGATCGCACGCTGCCGTGCTGACGTGATCGCCGCTGCCGTGCTGACGTGATCGCCGCTGCCGTGCCGACGTGATCGCCGCTGCCGTGCTGACGTGATCGCCGCTGCCGTGCTGACGTGATCGCCGCTGCCGTGCTGACGTGATCGCCGCTGCCGTGCTGACGTGATCGCCGCTGCCGTGCCGACGTGATCGCGCCGCTGCCGTGCTGACGTGATCGCCGCTGCCGTGCCGATGTGATCGCCGCTGCCGTGCTGACGTGATCGCCGCTGCCGTGCTGACTTGATCGCCGCTGCCCGTGCCGACGTGATCGCCGCTGCCGTGCTGACGTGATCGCCGCTGCCGTGGCCGACGTGATCGCCGCTGCCGTGCTGACGTGATCGCCGCGGCCGTGCTGACGTGATCGCCGCTGCCGTGCTGACGTGATCGCCGCTGCCGTGCTGACGTGATCGCCGCTGCCGTGCCGACTGATCGCCGCTGCCGTCTGACGTGATCGCCGCTGCCGTGCCGAATGTGATCGCCGCTGCCGTCTGACCGTGATCGCCCGCGGCCGTGGCTGACGTGATCGCGCCTGCCGTGCTGACGTGATCGCCGCTGCCGTGCTGACGCGATCGCCGCTGCCGGTGCTGACGTGATCGCCGCTGCCGGTGCTGACGTGATCGCCGCTGCCGTGCTGACGTGATCGCCCTTGCCGTGCCGACGTGATCGCCGATGCCGTGCTGACTGATCGCCGCTGCCGTGCTGACGTGATCGCCGCCTGCCGTGCTGATGTGATCGCCGCTGCCGTGCTGACGTGTTTCGCCGCTCGCCGACAGATCAGCGGTCGTACGGCCGAGTCCTCCAGCTCCTCCTGCCAGGCGTCACCTGACCTCAGGTCGAGATCGCTCTCGTCGAAGCGTGCCCGGCGGAAGAGGTGGGTTAAGGAGCAGCGGGCGACCCCGGAGGCTGCTTCCCACAGCCGCCGCTCCCTTCCGCCACTCGTCAGACGTCCCATGAGAGGCGGCACCAACCCCGCTCCGGCGCGCCGGCGGCCCGCCGCGGCCGTCAGAAACTGGAGCGCGAACCCCTGTGTGCCAATATAATTGTGGGTTATTATCGCCGGCGGCCGCGGTCGCGCGACGCGCGTGACACTGGCTACTCCTCGCTCCGTGGAGCCGCGGCCACTCCACGCCCGTCGACTTGGGTTCTGATCAATAGATATGGGCTTGATCGCGCTTGGGCGAATCGATTCGAGTCGAATAAAGGAAAATAAAGCTAAATCTGAATATGGCTCAACGGGCTGTTGAGAATTAGACTTAATCCTAGCTGACGCCAGCATAATGGATGATCTGATTTAATTTGATTACGAATAGGTAACTCAGTTTTTGGTGCTCAAAATGTTACAGCCATTAAAAATACGGGTGCTGCTTCAATCTGCTTATGCACATACGCACGCAGACACGCCCGCACGCATGTGCATGTGTGTCATCTACTAGTTACTCTGCAACGGGTATCCGAGCCTGTCAGCCGACCGCAGTTCACGAACAATGCGTAGCGTGATTCTATGATTTTGTATTACAAAATAGGACCCTATTTGGTTTGCCGGTGTTGGGCAAGAATGGTCGCGGGCACATGAGTGATAATGTGTCAGATGACCATATTACATGGACAAGCCCGGGTAATAGGACAAATCAATCTGCCTCTCAAACCATGAAGTTCTTTGGCCATTTGCACCTCCGCTGTTACAAACCTCGCTTTGCCGGTCCCCACCAACGGCATTTTATTTAACATTTCGTTCACATCACATCTAAGTGGGGTAGTTAACCCCTTGCAGGATCAGGTCACCATTGCAAGCGCCCTGAGGCCAATGCAAGCTGGATTCGGGAGTGGGGCACAGTTTGCCGATCAGTCGGCGCCGCAGCGCCGTCGCGCTGCGCGGGGCGACGGGGCGGGTACGGCGGGCGGTGGAGAGGCCGCTCCTCTGTGGTCATGGTCGCCGACGCGCTGTGAATTCACGAGTGATAGCCTCCGCCTCTGGCACGTGGCACTTCACGGAGGAGCCTCCGACATGAAGAGTCACCGGCTTGAGTACACCTGTCACGTCCCCGAAATGACGCACCGAATGTTTTGTCTTAGCTTGGGCGCCATGTGCCTGCCTCCGGGCGGTTTCACCCCGCCTTTTTTGTGTCGGGATGGTAACACTTCTCCGACAACTTGGCCTACTGTGAAAGGCGTATGGCGCTTGTTGTGTTTCGTAGTGCCGGACACGCCGCAAGACCTTAACATCCCTCTAGGTTGTGGAATCCGGCCTAACCTGGCAAATGTATTCACCGCCTGCGAATGTTCGGCGCCCTCGCCACTCGCCCACTTGGAAATCGTCATTTTGACAAATTATCATTTCATGCGCTATCACTTTGCCTTGCAATCAGTTCAAAAAACCGCAACAACACGATCGAAACATGCTGGGCTCGAGGCGTTATTGAATGACTGGTATGAGTGACCACTATAGAGCTGACACAACACGTGCGCTCATTCATCGTCCACCGCCAGCGGCGCTCGTCGCCATCACTCAGCTTTCAGCGTGTGTGTGATGGGGCCGGGCGAGGCGAATAGCGAGGGCCACGGCGGTGCTAAAATAGTCACTCGACCCGCCGCCTCCTGCCAATATCTCGCGCTGGCCGGCGCGCCGAACAAAGGTCGTCTGTGTTCGCCAGCGCCGCGAGCGAGATGGGTTGTGTCGATCGCGCATCCGGATGCGCTGCGGGCCGCCG